CCATTTGGGAAACCTGTATCCTTCACTCTTGTCAAAGAGATGATGGAGAAAGGGGGGGTGGGTGAGATTCGAATGTGCCCTGGGGGCACTGAAAGCCCCTCTGGGAATCTGCACAGCTAGGAACTGATGGACACCAGGCAGCCTTTCCCTTGCCCTCCATCTCCTCCCTCCTCCCACGCTGATTTTCCTGCATCCACATCCTGCTCCGCGCAGGTGTGGGTCCCCCTTCCCGCGGTGTCCCCGAGCGGGGATGGGTTCCTGGGGAGGCAGAGCCCCCCTGGTGACGGTGGGGAGGTGGTGGCTCCGCGGTGTGCGGGGGACACGGCAGCCACCGCATTAAGAGGATTTACAAAGGAGATAAGGCACAGCGCTGAGCTTCCCTCGGTAATCGTGCCGCGCACAATTCGGGGCCGTGCGGGGAATTTCGGCGCAGCTGACAGGTACACAGCGCTGATCCAATTGTCCTTACAGCCGCTATTAGCCAAAAATAAGGGGCAACTGGTATTACAAATGATTTCTGGGTAAATGCTGAGCTCCGGCGCTGAATGATCTCTCAGCAATAATCCACACATAATCCTCAATAGACTCTGCTTTAAAGGCAGCTCCATTTTGAGCAGGCCTCAATAATGCATGGATGTCCTGATTCAGAAAATAAAGGAGAGGAGGGAACAGGAAAGACACTCTTGTTTTACAGAACTTTTTTTTGGGTTGAAAAGAATTAGGGAAGTGTGTGATCATGTACGTATTATTTATTAAGAGAAGATAACCTGCCTGGTAATAATTTCTTTGGGAGAATAATTTTAACTACAATGACTGCATTATGACTGTTTCAGGCAGGTCTGATATATCTAGAAAATAAACAAATGAACAAAAATCTCCTGTTATGACTCAGTTAATGATGTTTATTCCTCAGAACACTCTTGGTTACTTAATGTGAGGGAATGAGTGTGCTGATAGTTAACACCTTGTCTCTTCTCTGCACTTCCTGATGTGAAAGGTTGCCTGGTCCAGTGGCATTTATGCAGCCCCACTAGCAGGGCACCTGAGAGCTCTGCAGTGTTTGGTGTGTTCAGTGGCCTCATCACAGCCCCATGAAGTGAAGCAGGAAAATGTGCTCCTCCCAGAGGCACAAATCCCAGAGAGGAGCAGGTGATTCTTCCCAAAACCATCTACTCATTTTGGGTGCCTGATACTGGCATGGATTTTCAGAACCTCTTAGCACCCACTCCAGCACTCATGTTTGGCTATTTATCTTCTTTGAAGAGTGCTCTTCCTACACCAACTTGATTGCCAGAGAGTGGGCACAGAAGAGTTTGAGTCTGCAGAATTACTCTGTGAGTAATCCTTGGGTAATCCCGGGAGGCTTTACCTGGCTGACTAAGGACTTTTAGCATTTTACCAAACCATTGGATATATCCTCTACAAATATTTTTGGCCACTGCTTCCACTAGGATTTTCAAGGGGACAGGAATAGGTTTTGTAATCTCTGGTAAACTTTAGTTAACATCCATAGGACATTTTCACCAATAGGCTCAGCTCTTGGCTATACAATAGAAAAATGTTGGAAACTGTATTTGTTCATCATGAATAATATTTTCCTAGCTACCTGCTACAGAGGGGAAAGGAGGCCCTGCCAAATGCCACAGGAAAAAAAAATTCCCTGCTAGCAAATTCTGAAAAAGCAAACAACATTTTCATTGTTTGTTTACTCATTTGTTCCTTAAAAGAGGCAAAGGAATCTGTGAATCAGAAGAATTTCCATCTCAAAAAACTGCTTTGGCTTGTAATTTAAGATTAAGCGGTTGAATTTCATGCAGCCCTGCTTAAAATTCACTACCCCACACCCCGTCACCATTAGCATAAAAAACCCCACACCCCCCATAAAAAACAGTCCTGCCACCACCTCCTCCAGCATCTCTATGGTCTACTATAAGTAAGTAAAAAAATGTCCAATCAGCTGGGAGGTCACAAAATGCACTTAATAAAGATGTTGTCTGCGTGCCTGCTGGATTTTCCCCCTCGCAGCGCTCGCAGCCTATCCGGCAGTTTCCATTCCGATGCAGTGCCAGGGCTGGGCTGACTTCAATCAGGCTGTACAAATCAGCAGAGCAGAAATGCCTCCTTCCCTCCATCACCTGAAGCCAATGCTGATTCATCTTTTCAGGCCTATTCCTCCTGCCCTTTCTCTGAATCTGCCGATCGCTGAATCTTTTTTTTTTTTTTTTTCTTTTTCTTTTCTTCCTCCCTTCCCCTCTGGAGTGTCCCGGCGCTAAATGCAACACGCTTGGTTTTGAGATCTGACTGAAAGGGAATATGGAAATGAATTGGCTCGGGCTGCTCTCAGCCTTTTCCACGTGCCTGTGCTGTGTAAGAGGTGCCGTGCAATTGCCTTTCCTTTGTGGTTCCCCACCAGCCACCTGTCTCCTCGCACACGCTGCCGCGGCTGCTCTCAGCCCGGGCTCTGGAGATGGATGTCCCCTTCCTCTCCCTATTGTGCAAGAGGGAGGGCAGCTGGCAGGGCTGTCCTCCTAGGGGCTGGAACTGCCCTGTTTGACTCAGAACAGGCCAGATTTAGTGAATTCTCTAGCTTGTGGTAAATAGCGTGTGACTGGTGCTTTGGCAAGGGCTGCAGAGGGATGTACAGTACATGTTGAAATGGTTATTTGTTCTGGCTATTGGAAGGAGAGCCCAGCTGAAATAAGAGAGAAGCTAGGGGATGTGCCTCTTCCATGAGAGGGTGGTACTGGGACCCTTGCAAGTTGGGGTATAACCTCGCTTCATGAGCATGCTCCATCCCAAACACGCTGTCCCATGGTGCTGTGGCTTTTCCAACTCCATGAGAAAGACATTGCTGGGCAGAAAGAACCCCTAATCTCCATGTCCTGCAAGGGGGAAGAACAAGATCTTACTGCCAGACAGAAGGGCAATGTCAGGCAGGCCAGGAGCACCTACACAACAGGGGAATGTCTCAGACACCACTCTGGGTCTCTAGAAGCACCTCAGCACTTTCTGGGGGACAGTGGGCTCTTCTGAAGGGTGGATGGTACAAAACTTACCCTGACTCAATCCCTTGATGGAAGCGAAAATCTGAGCTCTAATTGTCAGGAGGACATTGGTCATTTGTGCTGGTTGTTTTCTGCTTGGAAGCATTTCAAGAAGTGGCTTTTGGAGTCCTGAATAAGGACTTCCTGTGCCCAGAAGAAGCTGGTCTAATTTTCCCAACTGTAATAAGTTGGTCTTTAAAAAGATATTGTCTCTGCACACAGACTTTGTACTACCTATGTCCTTTGACCAATGCAGTCACCACAAAACTACTTTGAGGCTGCTGTGGCATTCAGCAGCAGATCAGTGGCAGTCTGCAACTGCTCAAAACCAGGAATAAGAATTTTCAGGTAGAGACATGCTCACCTATGGCATCAGCCCTTGTGTCCCCATCTCAGCAGACTGATGGTATGAGCACCACTAGGGGCTGGTGAGCTGTTTGTATTTTCAGGGTCTTGGGGTGACTCAGACCCTGGCAGCAGACTCTAGGTCTGGTGCCCATTTTTCTCTTCCATCTTTGCACTGCCTCTTGCCCAAGGAGTCATGGCCTACAAGAAGGACCACTTCTTATTATCAGTACAATAGCCATAAATGAAAGAGCATGCACACTTGTAATGTGGAATCACTTACAGAGAAAACATGATCTCAGGTACACTGGATATCAAAATCAAATGAGACACTTTCCTCTTAGTTTTATCACAATTTTTCCTGGAACCACTGCTACATGCATTCTGGAAATTTACATGATGAAGGATTTTGTCATGATATCTAATTCTAATCTGGAGTGATTTACTGTTAAGTTGAAAATCAAGCCTGTACATATCCCCCTCCAAGTGGTTTCTGTGACAGTTTCTATTAACCATAAAAATGTCACTTGCTAGGAAGTATCAGCCTTCTTATGGGCTTTGCAATCATCACTACCAGATGCACACTTACTGAATGGAATAAATAGTCATCTTGTACAATTAGCCTAGGATTCAGGACATGTCTGGCTATCTCTCTTGGCTCCAAAGTGAAGTTTTCACAAGGAAACCCATATACCAGGAGATGAGATCTATGTGGATTCTCTGGACTTCTTGAGAACTTGACATGTTATAAAGCCTTAAGGATAAAATTAACAGTTTTGGTGCATATCCTGTGGTTTTGGTCTGTGTAAGGCAACTTAAATACCCATCTTACTTCATTCTGGTCCAGTAAAAAAAAAAAAAATTATGTTTATTCTGTCACTTATAATGTGTTTTGAAATACTCTTCTGGCTCTGTGGTGTTTCCTGCTGTTGCACAATCACAGTAAAATGTGTAGTGTGGAGCTGCACTGTAACCACTTTGTCCCCATCTACCCTTCAAGGAAATGACACACAGAGCCCTTCTTGAGCCCAGGGCTGTGGATGGGGGCTGCTGCCCGTGGGATGTGTTAGCAGTGTTGAGACACAGATTTATGTTACTCTGGTCCTCAGGTATGAGCTGAAACGAGAGTTTGGGTTTGTGTCATGTCCTGCCAGAGCTCTGAGCCGCTGCACTCAAGGTCTCTGCTGTTGGTGAGGAGCTCAAGAAATCAGTCTGAGTACAGAAAGTGACACTTAATGATTTCTCGCATTTTAAGCCATATTATGAGCAGAAGCCATAAAGGAAGTTGTAACTTTGACCTTCATTGCTGTGTTTGCACCTGAGGATTGAAGTCCAGGGGGCTGCAGAGCTGAAGTGGTGGATCTGAACTGCATGAGACACATTACCCCTGCAGCAGCAGAAGCAAGAAGCCTGTTTACATCTGTCTAAAAGAACAAAGTCATATTCTCCACTTCTATGCATCATTCTGACTACTGAGGTCAGTGAACTTTGACTTGTGTGTCAGGGAAAAAAGTTCACTGTGTAGGAGTTTGCAGCTGGCACAATGAACAGAGGGAAATATCAGCCACCTGTACAGAGCACTTGGATCCCTTGATGAAGTGAACTTGCAGTGCCTGGATAGATCTGAAAGAGTAAGGGGAGAAAGAAAGCATTTGGTCACATTTCAAGAGCAAGGACTCTGTATTTGAAAGTAGAAGCTCTGAGAGGGACATGTTCTATGACTTCAAAAAAAAACATCTGATCATACAAGGAGCACCATCGGTGCAGGGAGCTGAGTGTTGAGCATCATGCAAACAGCAGCTCCTGTACTGTGCTGGGCAGGGCTCATGAGAGAAGAGACAGTAAGCAATGAAGGGGTTTTAGTTCCTTCTCCCCTCTTTGTCTGCTTTGCAAAGGTTGTTGTGAAAGTGGAAAGGGTTTAAAAATGTCTGGAAGAACAATTTGCAACTTGTCAAACCTGCTCTAGAAGGAGACTATGAACAAGGTCATCTTATCAAACTTCAGGAAAAGAAATCTTGAAGTATGACAACTTCAGCACAGGCAGAGGCAGCTAGTCTGATGTTAGAAGGCTCTTTGTCTTTTATCTACCAAATACCAAATATTCCAGAACAAAAAGCTCCTGTGCATCCCTTTCCCATGGAATTTATAAAGATTTATAAATTAAAGTTAGATTTACAGAATATTATACAGCATATATTTCTAAATGCTGTTGTCAGAGGGAAAAGTGCCTGTGGTCTGTTTGTGACTGCAGAACCCGTGATGAATACCTAGAATGTTCCTCTCCTGGAAACGCTGTTAATTGTTTTTTCACATGATGAGATTGGTTTGAAGCAATTTCGCTGTCCCTTGAAGTCTTGTGAAAACAGAAAACAGAATATATTAGTACAGGAAAAGATGATGCTCACAGTTGTCTAAGAACTAAAAAGCCATGTGTATTCTTTAAAGTCTGTGGGATGAGGCTGCTTTCTTCACTGCAGTGTTAACACATGCACCTTGGAGACTCTCATCTCAGCCAGCATCTGAACATGCTCTTGCATTTCATCCGATGGTTCAGGAGCAAAAGCACCAGCTCATATTCAGCAACATGTAGCTCCAAAATCAATGCCAGCTAAGTATTTTCATTGCTAACAAATTAAACATTTTCACAGCTATTATTTGGACTAAAACTTGATAAATAGAACAGAAGGACTCTGATGAAGCTAAATTCTCCAACCTGTGAACATTCTTCTGACTGGGACAGATGAGAGAAAAGAAAAAAGTAGATTGTGCATGTTTTCATCCCTACTCTCTGTGCTCTCCGTGACGTGGCCCTTGAATGGATGACTGTCACGAGAGAAAAACTGTCTTGGTGGGAACTTTATATTGAAAGATCCAATTCAAAAAGTGTGATTTGCAGGCCAAATTGAAGGAATTATTTGTGTTTCCAAATTTCAGTTCAGTGAAAGTTTGGGAATTAGTTGGGGCAGTGATTTTTCCACACTTCAGAATAATAGCAGGAACACGTACACATGATGTGTACAAAGGCACTCCCTGAAAAAAATGAGATTGAGCTGATATATTGGAAAGGTGCCAGACTGATGTAAATGGGAAATCAAAGACATTCATCTTCAGAGGAGGTATGTCAAAGGTGCTGGCAGCCAAAGCTTCTCCACAGAGTGGAAAACTTATTGGCCAAGTTTTGTTTTAGTGTTTGTGAGGAGAGATTTGGTACCCACAGGATCATCCCAGCTCACTTCATAACTGAAGCTTTACCATTATCATGTATGAGATTTCCCCATAGCAAATAAAGTATTGAAATTGGAATAAAGTATTGAAATTGCAGTGGAGACAATACATGAATTTTAACTATGTCATAAACCCTATTTTAGATAGTCATAATAAAAAAAATGTTTGAGACCCAAATAAGCTGAAGATTTTGTCTTTTAAAAAAAAATCCCAAGCAACCCAAACCTGCTCAGTCTCCACTTCTAAAAAAGCCTGTACAAACAGACTTAGCATTGACTTTACATTGTCTGATCTATGCTCAGGCCACAGGAGCACGTAGAGAGAACCAGGAGTTTGCTGGCAAGCCAGACCACAGCTTTTCCCATGGCAGCTCCTGGAAGGGGGTCCTTGTCTGAAGATCCCCACTCATGTCCCATTCACTTTATGGATGTCCTCAGGATCTTGTCTGAGCACATCTGAGTGTTTGTGCAGCACCTGACGCAAACAGGCCCCTGTCCCACTCCATTTATCAAGTGATAAATAAGATGATAATACTATAATTGAAGTCACTCACACAGACAGTAATCACCTCGTGAGCCAGTACAACACAGACCTGCAAGGTGGAAGACTGCACTAAGCTAATGCAGAGATTTCCATCTTGCCCATTACTTTCTGCACGCTAAATATATTCTGATTCTACCAATGCTGAAGTTTTAAGGTGAGATTTTCTCTGCTTGGGCTAAACCCAAATGCCAGAGAATTTTGTAATGCCAGAACAAAACCATTCAGCCACTTTTGAGTTATGTGACACCGAAAGACAAGGTATTAATAATGTTGCTATTAACTGCTGAATCAAGACTCACAGATAGCACTTATTTTTTAATTTATTGAGGAAGGAATAGCAGTACTGGGAGAGGTGGGAGATAGGAAACTTCGGAGAGTTTATGCCCTCCAGTGAGCAACACCTGATCCAGAAATCAGGCTCTAGCAGTGTACAGTGCAGAGCAAGTATGCCTGAATTAATGCCTAGGACCTGGCTGATGCATACCTCACAGCTAATCTGGTTACGCGGGGTTTATTTCGCAGTCGGAAGTTCTCCTGCTGGAGGAGAGTCCTGCTGGGGTTTTCTGAGCACGCGGCAGAATTAATGAATGAGCGAATGCAGCTTGCCAGCCTAGATTTAAATTGCTTACTAGATCAAAATCTGTTCATTTTCTCTGTCCTTATTTCCAGCCTCTGTGTCTTTTATTTATTAATTTATTTGAGGAAACAGATAAAGAGCGCAGAATGTGCCTGCAGACGCCATCGAAGCAGCAAATGCAGATAAAGGGCTGTTTTGCAGGCTGGCCTGAGCCCTGGCACCGGGCTTTGAGCCGCGGTCCAGGGCAGGGAGGTCCCTGGCAGGGGCTGCTCGGTGGCTGGTGCTGCCTGTGGGGCTGGGGCTGCGAGGAGCTGTGGCTACACAGCCCCCAGCCCTTACAGCCCTGAGCCTCTCACCGGGCCCCAGCGACCCTTTGCTACAGCCCCTGGGAGGAGAACAGCATTAAAGCAGAGAAGCCCTGCTTTGAAAAAGCAAGACATAAACCCGGGCTGCTTTGCAGGAAGGGTCACGTTTTTTCTGTCTTTCAGATCCACGCTGCCTTTGGTATTAGCCAGTTGTCGGGTTTTAATGGGGGCTCGCTAACAGGATATCTGGAATATTTGGATTTATTTGGCCACTGGGCAGACCTCCAGCCTGCCGTTTTGACTGCGGCGTTCGTATTTTAATAGGAGTTTTAAGAAGGCTTAGCTAGGGGTATTTAAGGTAGTCCCTGAGTTTTCATGCAGACTTTTCAGCTCCGACGGAAAACACAGCGCCAAGGAGATGCGGCGGCAGGTTTTTACGAAGCAGAGGGATCTATAATCGTGCCACTGTCACTGCCCTCCCAAAGACCCTTTCAGAAGAGCGAAGGTCCCCTCGCACCGTCACGGCTCCTCTCGCATCCCGGACTCTGGAGTCCTTAACTCCGCGCCAGCCGCGCTGCGCGGGGCCGGGATGCGGGCAGCGCTCCGCGGCAGGAGCGGGGCGCCGGCGAGGGAGGGATGCTCGCCCCATCGCTCCCTCCCCAGCCCCTGCTCCGCCAGGCCGGGCATCTCCCTCCGAGCCCCGGCGCTGGATGTGCTCCAGGGAGCCGGCTTTGGCTGCTCCGAGAAGCCTGAGACGCCTCCCCGGACTCCGCTCTCCGGAGCGAAGGGGAAAGGAGACAAATGTCGCTCATTCAAGGTGAAGGGCAGTGCTGGCATGATGGAAAAGCAGCCTGTGCTCTCTGCCAAAGACTGGAGACCTTCCTGAAGATTCACTGCTCTCCGGTTTTCTTTATGCTCTTATTTTAGAGCTTATGGAAAGAAGAGGCTGATAATCAAGAGAGAGATTGTGCCAATATATCCAGGTATCCTGAGCTGCACTGCTCCTGCTCTTCCTCACTTTCCTCTCCCTGTGCTGCCAACACAGGCTGAGCAGGGATGGATTGCTCTGCTGCCTGGTGCAGTGCAGTGTGCAGGCATCTGCTACTGCAATATTGACCAGGTCTGCTTTCCTCAGCTAGAGACTGCACTGAGAATTACCTCCAGGTCTCCGGAGATGCAAGCCCAGTGTGCAAAGCACTCTGCCTGCTGCTGATTTAACCCTGCCCGTTTGGATCCCAGCCCCTGAGGATGATGAGGCACTTTTCCTCCACACCATCCCAAAAGGAGCTGAAGAACTTCAGAAATGAAACTCTGCTTTGAAGGTGTCCCAGTGGTCACCTCACTTCTCTGGGAGGCAGTTTGGCAACTGAAAGCCAAGCCGGGGAGCAGAGCCAAGCTCCCCAAAAATAGTCTGGAAGAAACTAAAGCAAGGTTGAAGATTTAAAAAGGATCCTCAGAGCCCAGCACATCAGTTGTTCTGATGGAGGCTTTTTCAAGTCTCCCCTGTTGGCGTGAGGCCCTATACAGCAAAAAAACTGCAAACAGCTGTTTCTTTCCTTTCTCTCCTGCTTCTCCCATGGGGCAGGTGGAGGGGAACACACCGTGAAGAAGGGAAGCTCAAGGCCTCACCATCAGCTTGAGCTGCTCTGCTCAGTGTGCCCACACCCACACACCTCTCCAACAGCAACCAGCTACCCCAGAGAAGGTGTGATCTTGACACATTGCATGGATCCATGCAGAAGGATGGCAACACGAGGGTGAATATCAAAGCCTGGGAATATATCAAGTTTGAGTAAAGGCTTGCCTGCGTGATGAAATGTTCATGGAGTGGCACACTGATGACGGAGGAAAGATGCAAAAGGCAGCCCATCATAACTTTGTGCTACCAAGCATCCTGGAAATGCTAATTAAAACGAGTGGAGGGGGAGGAGCCTGCTAGCAGGATCGCAGCCTTGCTTGGATTGAGTAACAAATGTGTAGTAGGCATCCGTGTTTTCCTCTACATGTGTCTTCCAAGCTGAGTTGGCTGAAAATGTTGCAGTTTTGTGAAATCCACACAGAGTAGGATGCAAACACAGACTAGATAGAGAGGCAAGGTCTAGTCATGAAGCTGGAATAGAAAAAGCCACGACAGTCTTCGGCAAATAAATAAATAACTGCCCGAAATGAGGGCTAATTAACTTGCAATAAACCAACTTAACCACTTAGGGGCAGCGTTAACACAGAGTTAACATGCAAAACAAACCTGTACTTTCTCACCTGGTTAATTTAACATGCGCCGTGAATATTCATAGTGTGTGGAATCCTGCTACATCAACACAGCAAACGATGCAGTCTGTCAAAACCGGAACGCGTGGCAAGAGGAGTAACTCAGCGGGGCTCGCACGGCGCTGACTTTGATCAGTCACTGCTCCCAAACACATCCAGAGAGGAGGCAGGACTCTGCTGCTTTCCCTCCGCCGGGGTCACAGAGTGTGTTCTGTACGAAGATAAAAACCCAGAAAAAAAAATAAGACAGAAAAGAGCTTCACTTAAAATAAACATTAAAAAAATCAAACAGAAAAAAAAAGGTGTCTTTGAGAAATGCTGCTCTTGCATGCAGGAGCTGAACTCCCCATTTTATCTCTGTGGCCACATTCAGAGTCACTTTGCTCTCAGACAATACGTTTCTTTCCCTACATTGCATGCAGAAATGTCCCAGTTCCTCGGATTCCTCTGAAACATTTCCCTGCATAAAAAGGAGCCCAGACCTGTTTCAGGTATGTTTGCACTTCTAGATCAGAACACGTAAATAAAGAAAAGGTACCTTTTTTTTAGTGTGACTTGACTAACTTGAGTTAGAAAAAACCCACAGTAACATGTTTTTTATCTTTATTTATTTATCTATTTACTTTTAAAGGGGGCTAGCAGCTTGAATTCAGACTCAGGTAAACCTCATCTTGCCTCAGTGTCCTTTTAACCTGAGGTACTAAAAGCACAACTTTCCCCCTGCTTGCCTCTCCTAGCACATTTACAAGCTCAGGCATGGCTTGCCGGTGTCCCAGCCTCACCTTTACATCCCCCAGGTGCTGGGGCTGGGCTTGCACGGTGTGCCTGGTGCTCCGGGCAGCTGCTGGGGCTGCTCCCCTGGCACTGAATGCCAGCTCCATGCAGCACCAGAGCCCTCAGCAGTGTGCTCACGTTTGTGCTGAATTAGGCAGAGTGCAGGACAGGCAGCACGTGCCAGCTTTGTGCTCTGCGCTGCACGAGGGAGGACAGATGACACCTGATCTGGCACCGAGTGAGCTTGGTGTGGAGAGGAGATATTGAACATGGCATAAAGTTAAAGCAGGGTGGGTAAACAATATCTGATCTGGCAGAAGAAGCTGCTGGTACAAAGTTGGCCTGTCAGAACCATTAAAATAAATTCAAACCAGTGGAGTGAGTGCCACATGGCCAAAGTGCTTTTCCTGCAGTGTCAGGGAGCCCAGAGACAGATTCCCTGTGCTGTCAAACTCTGCACTTGGGAAAGGGCTTGGGAAATGTCTGCCTACCCTTGCTGGCATGCCTGTCTGAGCAACAACACTGGGATGGGTGGGGAGGCAAAGGACCAGGGGTGATCCTTCAGCCCTGAAGGATGCAGGCACAGACCTTGTCCAGCATTGCCCAGGTCCTGGCAGCTGTTTGGCAGTGGAGCCTGGCGTGACAAAGGGCTTCCCCTGGTGCAGGAGGTGGTGCTGGGGGGCTGAGGTGGAGGAGAAGAAAGATGTGCAGCACTGCTGCCAGCACTGCCTCTGCAGAGGAGGGGGGATCAGGCTCCAAAGCCATCACCCTGCCAAAAACATCAGACTGACTGAAATAAGGTCCCGCAAGGAGAGGAAGCAAGCGAGCTGTCAGAAGTGAGAGAAACAACAAGCCCACTGTACAGAATCATCCACAGACCACCCTTCTCCACTGAAGTGATATTTCTCCTTTCACCTGTCTCAAGTGGATGAAAAAAGTCAATGTTTAGGCACTTACTTCCTTTGCTTACACACTTGGAGTGTTGGCCCTGTCTTTTCTTCCAGGATGGCCAGTGCTGCCCAGGGAGATGCAGTCCCACAGCTCCTAGGAAATGGAAGGAGAATGACGGGGCTGAGTCGTCATGCATTATGCTGAATATTTACCCCTCATGCATGCTATTTTATTTTAAATCTAGCGTGTAATATGCTTTGCATCTAGCGTGTTGCTCTTGTGTGTTTTTCCCTTGCCCTGCCTGTCTCTTGCTGGCAGCTGCCATCGTGAAACAAAAGGCAGCTGCCAGTTTGAGTGAACATCTCTCTTTCTCACTCACTCTTGTGCCTCTTGCTCTTGGAGCTGATGCAAAAGCGCTTCGCAGACTGGGTGGCAGGCACTGGTGCAAGGGGGGTTTGCTGCCCTTGGGATGCTTGAGCATGCAGTGCCTCTGAGACTCTGCCAGAGCCCAAAGCCGTGTTCAGGCTCTTGAGCCTGGCTCAGCAGTACCAGGAGACAAGCAGCTGTGGCTCTGCCAGCACACCAGCTCAAGCTATCTCCATCGCAGCAATTGCCCATTTCACAGGATTTGATTATGCTGCTTTTGGCAAAGGTGATGGTTTATTAAATACCACTTTGGTCTTCTGCTCCAAGATGTGTAATCAAAGGCAGGGATCTCTTGCTCCAAACTAATGGTGTTCCTACATCATCTGAAAAAAGTCTGAAATAAGAAAGACTGAACTGAAACAGCATTTGGAAGAAGAAATTTTCCTATGCCAAATTAAAGTAACATGGGGAGAAAGCAGGATGAGATGCCAGGACCCAGGCCCTGAGGCCAGCTGTGGGCCCTGGATGCTGCAGTCCTTTGGCCAGTGATTCTGTGCAGAGTGAGAAGCTGCTGTGTGTGAGAGCCTCCAGAACTCAACCAGGGTCCTTATTCCTTGGCTCCTCCTATGACTCTATAACTTCATGTTCTAGGAGACTCTGGAAACCATCAGAGGGGCCAGTTCAGCTGTTTTTTCCAGAGCTGGAAAGAGATATTTTTTCTTTTCTTAGGAGCCTTTCCCCTGAGCTATAATGAAAACATGCTTTGGGAAAACAAGCTGAACTCTTGACTGCTGTAAATAGCCATGGGCTGGGTCACGCCTCTGGGAAGGGACTGTGTCCTGCTGGGAGAGCAGCAGGGATGAACTGAGTTTGCTGGAGCTGTGGTCACTGCCATGTGCTCTGTATTTTATCTCTCTGGGCAGTGGTGAGGGGTCTGGGGAAGAGGGTGAGGCACAACAGGCAGGGAGGTTGTAGGAGATCAAGCAGGACTCCAAATGTTAGGGTAAAATGAAAAAGCCGAATAAATGCAAGTCTCAGCTCCAATCAGGAAAGTTAAGAAATGAGATCTGAAACACCCTCCTGGGAGTCTCGTGTGTGCTGAAGAAGAATACTGAAATAAATCCTCATGCAAGCTCTATCACTCTGATTGTCAGAGAAACTGAGCCCTTGCTCCTTTCCTTTGTGACAGTTTTCTTTCAGACAGCTCCTGGGTTTTTTGTTGCATGGCTTTTTATTTCTTTTTAATTTTCATAATAGGAATGGGTATTCTCATGTCACTCATTGTAAGCTTCTTTGTGGAAATTATGGACTTGTTCATAGGGACAGTTTGGAGAGATCCTGGTTTGTCTGATTTCCTGACATTGTTTTCCTAAAACACAGAATTAAGCCAGGAAAAGAAGCTGCAGAGGATAGGTCTGGAGTTCCTGAGGAGCTGTCAGGGCAGGTGAGAAATCACAAGTGCAGGTGAGAAGGTTGTGATTTTTGTAAATGAACAGTAAGCTATATTTCCCAACTGAAGATGATTTCCTCTAGATTAAGCAGGATTGCAAACAAACAAAGAATAAAAATTTATGTCCATGAGCAAAAGAGGGTATCTGGCACTGCTTTGTGTACTGACCTACCTCTCAGAAAGGCAGGTGGGCACTGCAGGAAAACAGGAAACACTTCCACCTGAGCCACTGTAATACCCTCACCAGAGCTCCTGGATGAGTCTAGAGGTTTTTTCTACTTCCAAAACTACACAGAAAGTAGAGTTTATGGCAATGTTTCCAGTTTGATTTATATGAGACACCCTGTAGTAAGTGGATTGTGAAGAAGCAGCAGCTTAAATGAACAGCTGGATGCCTTCAGGCTCCACTGTGGCCCCGTGCTCTTGTGCTCTGATATGCCACAGTTGTGCTGCAAGAGCAGCAGAGTCCCACTGCCAGGAACTCTGTGGCTGGGACAGGATATAGGGCAGTGGCTGCCCTAATCCACTCATCAGTTATAGCACAGGTGAAACGTGGTCCTGCTCTGAAAACTGTACATTTATTTTAACTCCTGCAACACTAATGAGTTAACACAGCTGTGATAGAAAGTAGATGAGACAAATCCTTTTCCTTTGCCACCATCTGCATTTGGCAAGCCAGGACTGACAGCTGGGCCAAATCCTGCCCCTGAATGTCAATCCTTTCCATTGCTTTGGGTTCTCCTCTCTGCCAGCTAAGGAGCTTTTCCTGATTTCCCTTTAGGGACCCCTGTTTAGCAGTAATCCCAGGTTCTGCTACAGGGGCAGGATTCTGCTGGGGGCTCCAGTCCCCCTGCCCCAAGCACAGCTTCCTTTTCCAGCTCAAACTACACTGCTGAAGTGGCCTGCCCCTTTGCTTAAGTGATAATAACCATTACAAAAGGATTCTAGAACACCTTCATAAAAGGCAGAAACACATAACTCCTCTGTCTTTCCTCGAAACTTTGCACCCAGATTTTCTGTAATCCTGCCTTGGTCTCTCTCGTCTCCAGTCTCTGTTGAACCAGTCCTGCCCTGCTGGTGGTTGAGGAGTTCCCTCATTCCCAAGCAGAGAGGAAGCATTCTGTGCTCTGCTGTCTCTGTCTGGGAGGTCTCAGCTCTTGCACCTCTGCCTCACCATTGCTCTGGTTTCCCTTCCAGGACCCTCTGTCCCAGGTGCTCTACAAAAGGACCTCCCTGACCCCTTTCTTCTTGTCCCCCCTCTGCTGCCTGTGCCTGCCTCCCCAGGCTGGGGTTTCACCCCTTTGTCCTCCCAGTGCAGATTTGGTCACCTTGGGCACTGGCAGAGGGCAGCCACAGGCCCCTGAGCAAGGCTGGTTCATTCTGTGGCAAACATCTCCGGGCTGATCTCAGAGACAGGAGGATCTGAGGGATGCTCTTATAGAGGGAGGGAGGGTTCTAGCCATGATGCACTGGGGTGGACACAGATCCTGGAAGAATTTACCTCACTCCTGCTTGGACCTCTGCACATCCTGGTGAGAGACACTGCTGAAAAACAGAATGAAAGCCACCTGCTTCCTTCTCCTCCTGACACTCCTTGCTCAGTGAGGAAGTAGCTTATGTATGACTGACTGCCCCTGTGAAAGGGAGATAAAATCACTCACTGCACTCAGATGGAGAGTCAGGAGTGACAATGAGGATGAATTGAGCTTCCACCTCCTAAAACAATTCCATAGTCTTTCCCTCACCAGGACATCAACCGAGAAAATATATTTCTTCTTCTACAACCCTTTACTTGCCACTTCTTCAGCTGCAACTAAGGCGTTCCTGGAAACACAGAAGCAGCCTCTGCTGAAGCCCATCCTGGGGTTTTCCAGTAGTCATTTGCCAAGCAAGGACATGAGGTTTCTGCAGAGTCTCAGATCCCCCTCCAGCCCCCACTCATGTTCCCAGGCTACTGGGGTGATGCAGGTCCTTTGGGACCTGCTCATTGCTATGTCCTGAGCCCTGGAGGGATCAGCAGCAGATCATGTTGCTCGCATCCTGAGATGCCCTCTGCCACACAGACCCAAAG